TATTGTACTTTTAACTTAAATTTGATTTTTTTTAAATACATTAGGAAGACAATGGACTTATCAAACCTGTACAGAATTTGGGTTTTTCCAAACGTCAACATATTCACCACAAATTTTTGGCGATAAATTCCCCGTCGATTTCTTTATACAACAATGCGTGGACATTTTTGGTTCAAAATACAATGCAACGTTTTTAAATGACGCCGTCGATCGAACCAATCTTATATATGGAGCTTTCGACATCGACGTAACCAACGTTGTTTTCGTACATGGTTCAATTGATCCTTGGCACGCTTTGGGGATTATTAAAACACGAAGTCAAGGCGCCCCAGCTATTTACATTGAAGGAACCGCACATTGTGCGAATATGTACCCGAAATCCGATCAAGATTTACCTCAATTAACTAATGCTCGTCAGCAAATTGCCGAACTAATTGATTCTTGGTTACGTTTATGAAAACAAGAAAGTTTTTATTTTGCACCATAGGAAATAATATTTGGAATGAGTCCAAATATAATTACCATAAGACATACCGAATTGTGCTGTGCTGTTTTGTATTTTTGTTAAGAATAATAATCTCGTAGTATGTTAAGTGTTAATAAGAAACAAAATTGCTATTAAATGTTCATAAATATATTAATCCAACATATATTACATTTTTGCTTATATAACTTAAAGATAGTACCTTAAGAGATATTTTTTATGGAAAGAACGAGAATAAAAAATAGAAATTGAAAAATTCTGTGCGATAAAAATAATATTTAAGATGTTGATAAGATGTGGGTTTGCCTTTCTCAAATGGCACTAACGAGTGGTTCTTTCCCATCTAACATATTAGATAATTAGATATCAATAGTTTACGCTATGAATAACTTAAACATGAAATATAAGTGAATTGATAATTAAAAATTAAGTTAAATTTTGGTCTTTATACATCTCCACCAAATAATCAGTCGTTTTTTAATACGAAGTCGCTCTACGTGAATCTCATTAGCCTTACTTTAGACCACCGCATTTGGTAAATTACTTCATTCTTTAAAAGTACATAGTTGAAGTTTAACTCGAGTATATTACATTAAAAGAAAGGCCAAGGGATTCAACTATTATAGTTTTACTTAACTTTTTTAAATATCTTTTAAATAATAATGCAAAAAATTTAAAAAAAACTAGCATCAAATTAATAATAATGATAATAATATATACAAAAAATATTTCAAATCATAATCCAGTAAACGCTAAATAGTTGACTAAAAATAAATAGAAAGAAATCCATTTTATTTCAAAATTAGATGTGTAATTCGTTTATTATTATTATTTACTCCTCCTCAAATTGTACTGTAATAATCATGCAAGGTTGTCAATATCTCTTCTGGTCCCTATGTTGTTGTGGCGGCGGCCTAGATTCGCGCCACTCCCTTCCTTCTTTATGCTGTCTTAAATCATGGTGATGGTGATGATGATGATGGCGCTTCTTTTCAGCCGATTTTCCACTGCCGTTAAAAGCCGTGGAATCGGATACGACCAGTTCCGAACCGTCCCGTTGTCGTTCTCCATTTCTGTACGGTTCATCGAGGGTTTCCTTCCGTTTTAGCGGTTGATGATTACCATTGGCAGCTACTTTCAGGCCTGTTTTGCTTCCTGCCGATTCGTGCAGATTCTCCCATGCTTGACGATAGTATCGATTTAGGCCGTTTCTCGATTCTGAACTGGACGAATCAAACGATGCCACTGTGTTACAATCTGGGGATGCTCTGTGTCTATAATGTTTTGCACTTCGGTTTCTAAAAAAAAAGTAATAAAACTTAGATTATAAAAAAGTGGTTTTAAATTTAAATTTGGGTTTGTGTTGATTTGAATATAATTAATGCTGAGGTGGTTGGTTTTAGCTTTAAAAGCGTTTTGGTGCAATATTAGCAAAATATAGCATGATATTGTTGGAATTTTATGAGGAAAATAATTGTTCATTGTCATTGATTTAGACATTTTATAATTTTACGTTATTTTGAATAAGTTTTGTTAGATTGTTGTAATTAAGAAAAGGAAGGAAAAGGAGGTGCTAGGATTGGAGTGGATTGCATTGGGTGAACTGTAGGGCTTCTAACCAAGGATCTAGCAAGTCAGATCGTTTAACCTTGTCATCAGCCAGTAGTGGTCAAAATCATATAAATGTTGGGTACATCTTTATTCTGAGATAGATGGCTGTAATGTTATTATATTCGCATTGATTAAGGAAGATATTCCTTTTTCTAGCCTATTAAGTTGTATAGAAGTATTCTATTAGTTTATTTTAATTTAATGAAGAATAATGAAGAATTTGTGCATCTCTTAGGATTAAGACGAACTCAGATTTTACATTGTATCACTCATACATTTTAACCGTTTGAGTTCCAAGCAGTACGATTACGCTCTTCAAATTGTTTATCGAAAAGTACCAGTATATTTTGAACGCTGTACACAACTGATGGGGGACATTTTTCGTCAGTGATTTTTCAAAACCCTTTGATATCCAAACGGTTAATCAAAAAGAATACATCATCCGATTTCATCATTTATGTTATTTTACTATTTCTTCTTCGTAACTTCAATGTAGTATATTTTATTCCAATGTTTATTTGCCAAGAAGAAGAATTAAGATATAGTTTCTTGGTTTTTATGAACTTCATTACTGCTACAAGTCGTACTTAATCTGAATTGTATATCTTGTTTTATGTTTTGATAGCTGGTGGCTGATGATAAGGTTGAATCTGATTCCAATAACGTAAATTGCTTATTTATATGTCTCAATTTGAATAACATAAAAATTTGTAAGCTGTATCTATCAAAATAATCTATTCAAAATAACCTATGTGCATATACTCTGCCAATGTATACATGTAGGCTGCGTGTACATGTTGTATCTTCAATGATTAATTTCTTTAATTAATTAACATATGTTTAAAAGTACCCAAAAACTATTATAAAATCTCAATAAAAAATACATAACACCGTATAAAATAAAATTATAAAACCGTTTACCGAGACATATGCGGTGTTAAAATTGATTATAACTGCGAGTAACAGTAACCAAATAATTAAGATTGTATAGAAATCAGATTGCTAAACGATTTTAATCTAAAGCATTTCACAAATTAATCTTATTTTTAGACCTAACCATCAAAAAGCTATTCAAGAAGTGTACCTGACATTAAATCTTTAGAATGACGACTGGCTACCGTTAAACTATTTGAGAAAAGCAATTTACATCCAAATGAAGTTACCACTCAATACCGCTTTATAATCTTTAAAGTCAACGGGTAATGGTGTTTACCAAAGTTTTATCCATATCGTAAAGTTAAAGACGCGATTAGGAATGTCTTTTAAAGTGCACTTTTAACGATGATAATAATAATTTACTGACGGTCCACAAAAGAGAAAATTGTGGTTATCCTTAGAAAGTGTGCGCTCGAGTTCAGGTTCTGTACTATATCTGTGGGTTCACGTATCTTTCAGATAATTACGACACGGTACATACCTTTACAACAAAGTTTTTATTGCTTTCTCTCATTAACGGAACCTGTTTTTCTTTAGAAAAGAAGAATACATTTTTTCCTATTTATAACTAGATTTAAAGTTATGAATATAATATTTGTTTGTTTTTGTAATTTGCGTTTGCAATAAAAAGTAATTAAAAACAGTCGTCAATTTATCTGTTCATCGTCACGATTTAAATACATTGGGAAACACGGAGAATCGGGCGTGGAGATGTAAAGGAGGGTAAGAAAAGAAGAAAGCGTGTCAAGGACGAGGAAAGACATCTTTAGCAGTTGAAGAAAGGTAAAAACTAAATAAATACGTAGAAGAAGAGTGTTTAGTATTTGTGTGATATTTCCATTTCCGTTTTTTAAATTCGTAACTATGATCATTGTTGAATCTAGACCATAGCTTATTTAAAATATTAAATCTTAAGACAACTTACAGAATTTTTTTAAGATTTTTATTTACTTGTATAGAGAGGTAAGTTGTGTTAAGATTATTTTTATGCATAATAAAATTAACGGATAGTTAATAATGCGGTGCAGTGCGGACTTTTCATATCACATAAAAAGTACTAAGAAATATTTGTTGACTGATTAGCATCCGTACCTGGCTTATAGTAACTTGTATTCATGGGCGATTTGTTGGGTCGGTAGTTGGAAATGTTTATTGGAATTTGTTAGATAGGGTTTGAAAAGTATCCGGCCCGTTGCGACCTGTAGTGGCGCGTGAACTCCCGCCGTCCGATCTGCTGGTCGGGAAAAGGAAGAGCCAGTAGGGTGTACCATCGTGATGGCATCGCGCTCGGTGATGGCAGGCGACGTTTTGACCGTCTTGCCGAGTCGCCGCCCGCACTGCCACCGCAAGACAATCAGAACGAACCAATTTTTAATTTATTTTTTTCACACATACTCAAACTTAATAAAAAAAGTAAAGATCTGCCTAAAGGCTAAAGATCTAAAGAAATAGTGCTAGTACAAAAGAAGGAATATGTATAAAATCTTAAAAAGGTTTCTAATGTCCCCTAAAGACAATTTTAACTTATTTACATGTATAATTAATGTGCTTAAAATGTGTGTTAAGATTTAGCTTTAATGAAGCAGTAAGTGATCTATAATACATTAGATGAACTACTTTGAACTACCATCCAAAATCCATTAATTAAAATTTACTACACTTAATCATTGTTTATACAGTATTATATATTGCATACATAAATATCCTCTTTAATGTTGAATATTTTGTGAAAGTTTTATATTATTATTATAGTACTTATTATTTTATACAGGATGTCTCACGAAACTGGTTCGTTAGAACTTTTTCATGTTCCACTATTCGTAGAGATTTGAAATTTTGGCAACCCATGTTCATTCAGAACATTCGATCTAAAATATTTTACTTACATACCGGAAGTAGACCATAACTTCGTAATTTTAAATGGAATGCTATAGTTTTTAATTGTACTTAAAAAATAGGTAGACTTTGATAAAAGTGATTGGTACCTAGCGTTTTTTGTTATCGAGTTATTTTGGTTTTAAGCTGTTTGTGGCAAATTTCACCATGCTCTTTAAAACCCCCTATCTCAGCTACTGTTCATTCAAAAAAGCTGTAAATTGGCACGATTACTCTTCAGGTGCTATCAAATAGATTCTCTCGTCGTTAAATGTAACTAATGACAACAATAATAATAATGATAAATATGGATCAAAAACTGTCCAAATTCCATGACTTTCTAATAAAAAAAGCTGCATTCCGTGCATGTTTTGATAAATGTCCCTATATGAGGGAAACTACAATAAATAGTTATAGGAATGTTTATACAGTGATACAATAAAGTCTACATACAACCCGGAAAATGATAATATCTCAGCTCCCGAAATGTAATTGTATGACATTTTTTAACAAAACATGTAAGAAGTCCATATTATTTCCATATTTTACATAAAAACTATATAAGTTATTAATCAAGGGGAACACAAAACATAATCATATCTTTAACTCAAAAAAGTCTACATACAGTCCTAAAAAAAAAGTCTATCAGTGTTCGTTATAGCTCAACAAAAATATACAACTATCTAGCGCTGATTAACAAATAAAACTAGACTAACACTAGCACTAGACCTAGAACTAAACACATTCCGTTTTTCCGACCATCTCTTAAAATGGCTAAACCTGAAAGTTTCTACTTTTAGGTGTAATGTTAGTTCTGGAGACAGTGGTAAGTAGCGTAGTTAGCATAAGATATCACTATGTTGCATATTTTTATTGAACTAAAACAAGAACTATCACTAGAACTAACACAAGACCTAGAACTAGAATAATTCGGGTTTAGCCGTCTTGAGAGACGTGCGGCTAAACCCGATTGTTTCTAGTTCTCGGTCTAGTGGTAGTTCTAGTTTTGCATTATCACTAGAACTAACACAAGACCTAGAATTAGAATAATTCGGGTTTAGCAGTCTTGCGAGACGTGCGGCTAAGCCCGAATGTTTCTAGTTCTAGGTCTAATGTTAGTTCTAGAGACAGTGGTAAGTAGTGCTGGTTAGCAGAAGATATGACTATGTTGTATATTTTTATTGAACTAAAACTAGAACTAACACTAGACCTAGAACTAGAAAGTATCGGGTTTAGCTGTGCGTCTTCAGACGCACGGCCAAACCCCAATGTTTCTAGTTCTAGGTCTAGTGTTAGTTATAGTTTTACACTAGCACTATCACTAGAACTAACACAAGACCTAGAACTAGAATAATTCGGGTTTAGCAGTCTTGAGAGACGTGCGGCTAAGCCCGAATGTTTCTAGTTCTAGGTCTAATGTTAGTTCTAGAGACAGTGGTAGGTAGCGCTGGTTAGCAGAAGATATGACTATGTTGTATATTTTTATTGAACTGAAACTAGAACTAACACTAGACCTAGAACTAGAAAATATCGGGTTTGTAATGTAATTGTAATTGTTCCTAATGTTGTAACCTTCACTTCGTAGCACAAGTCGAACTGTTTCGACTTTGTATTTAAATAGTAAAGACTTTTAATATCCTTCGTTTAAAAAATTCATTGAATTACATTTCAGGAGTTGAGATATTATCATTTTCTGGGGTGTATGTAGACTTTATTGTATCACTGTAGATAGTTTATAGAGAATTAAATTCCCTTTCTGATAGGCTAAAACAATATGGGGCGTTCCATTTAAAATTTTCGACTTTCCCGCCATTGAATATAAAGAAACGGTAATTCAATTTTTGACCATTCTGTATAACATACTCTGATATAACAAATGACAATGTATTTGACAGCATCTGAAAAGTAGTAGTGCCAATTTAGAGCTTTTTTGAATGAACGTTGGTTGAGATATGGAGCTTTAAAGAGCATAGTTGAATTTGCCAAAAAAAACTTAAAATTAAAATAACTCGAAAACTAAGTACCAATAACTTTGATCAAAGTCAACATATTTTTTTATGTACAATTCAAAAGCTTAATAAAAACTATAGCATTCCATTTAAAATAACGAAGTTATGGTCTACTTCCGGTAGACCGGAAGTGGCAGCCACCTTGAAAATATTTATGATCGAATGTTCCGAATGAACAACCTAACTAAAATTACCAACTATGCTACTAAAATTTCAAAACTGTACGTATAGTGGAACCTAAAAAGGTTCTAACGAACCAGTTACGTGAGACAGCCTGTATAGGTAATGAATTTTTATAGCATGAAAATAATATAAAATCAAATATAAAATAAGGGCAGGAGACGAAAAAGGGAGAAGTGGGAATGGAAAGAGAATTTACGTACTTATCCAGGAAAAAAAACCTTTCGAGAGAGTTAGAAAGGCAAATAGATTATTGGGGCAGATATGGAGCTGGGGGAACGAATTTATATTTGGAAAAGATTTGTGCAGGCGGAAAATAATATTTGATGGACTGGTGAGGTGTGTGATAGTGCATGGAGCAGAAATATGGGGGTTGATGGAGTTGAAGATGGAGAAGATGAGGGTGGAAGAAGGCAGAAGGGCGATAATGTACGAGGAATGGCTGGAGTAGAGGAGCAACTTTAAAATGTTGGGAGTGTGTTGGAGGGAGGTTAAGACTGGGCTAAGAGGAGTATGGAAAACAAGCTAGAAGGGTAAATTATATCAAAGTAGGGTATCTAACAGAGGAAATACAAAGAAAGGGAAGGGAAGTGTCAACACTGTGGAAGGAGTAGAGATAGAGATGTGGAAAATCAGGAATGGCGTGCTCAGGTGGAAGAGTGGAGATACAATAATAAGTATAAGGTCATAATAACGGAGGAAGTACTTAATGGAGGAAGGTAGAAGGAAAGAAAAAAGTATAATTACGCGATTTAGGTGCGGTAACGAAGACTAGGTGAATAAATATTGGATGGGGATGAGGAGAAGATGTGCAGATTGTATGCGGATGATTGGGAGACAATACGCTGAGGTGTGACGATTTGAGGGAGGGACGTATGGAGTGGGAGCGTGTATGGCGGTGGTGATGAAGAAGAGGAGGAGGACGAGGGGGCATTAGTGTGATGTTCTATATTATGTATTGCAGTTATTGTGTTTTATTTGTATACAGAAAGTAACAATAAAAGATATTATACAGGCTGTTTCAAAATTACAGGGCACAATTTTATGATGTATTCTTCAGCATAAAATAAACAAAAAAGTTCATATAAACATATGTCCCAAATTAATTTATTATCGAGATATGTATTTAAAGTTGAGGTAAAATATCTGAAAGTATTGCGTTAACCAAGTATCCATGGACAATTATCGCATAGTGTTTTTTTTTGCTTGACAGATGATTAAATATCTGCTATTACATGTGTTAATTAGTGCTTAACATTTTTTGTGTAGTGGTTTTTCTAGTGTTGTACGAAAAATTTAATTTTTTATTGTTTATCATGGGAGACACCACAAATTTGTTCACTTTTGCAGAAAAAACAGACATGTTGTTACTTTATGGCGAGGTACATAAAAATGGAGATGCTGCTGTTCGAAGGTACCGTGAAAAATTTTCCACTAGAAGAGTTCTTAGGGAAATTGGCACATTAAAACCCACACGAATAAACGCTGGTCGACAAAGGTTTCGACGAACTGCTAACGTTGAAGAATTGATACTCGTATTAGCACCAGAAGGTTGTCACTTCGTTTCGAATGTTTCGAGTGCAAATGTATGGCGAACATTGCGTGAGCAACAGTTGTATCCATATCACGTTACACATGTGCAAGATTTATTAGCAGAAGACTATAACAGGCGCAGAAATTTCTGCCAGTGGTTAATTCCACAATGTACAGGAAACCATAACTTGCTGAGCTGATTCCTAGTTACTGACGAATCTTGTTTCACCAGAAACGGGATTATTAATATTCGACAAACCCATACTTGGCACGAAGAAAACTCTCATATGACTGCTTCTACTCATTACTAACATACTTTTTCCGTAAATGTCTTCTTGGTGACAATCTCATCGGCCCTTTCTTTTTACCACCCCAGCTTTCCGGAATATCTTACTTGAAGTTTTAGCAAAATATCTTGCACCTTCTCACTTCTCTCATCTTGTCATTGATTATTTAAACAGAATATATGACCATATGATGGTGACCGATGGATTGATCGAAACGAACCTGTGAAATGGTCACCACGGTGTCCTGAGCTAACACCGTTAGAATATTCCGAAGAGCTCGGAAATCGCATCGTGGAAGCCACCAGTAATTATCAATGACCGTCCTGATGCTATAAGACTTGCCGGAGAAGCGTGGATTTATCATGCTCAATATTGCATTCAACATTTACTCTGACCACTTCATTGTCAAATTAAAATTATTTTTTTTCAATATCTCGGTAATAAATTAGTTTGAGACATATGTTTATATGAACTTTTTTGTTTATTTTGTGCCGAAGAATACATCTCTAAAATAGTGCCGTGTAATTCTGAAACACCCTGTATAATAAAATGAAATCTTTCAGGTTGCCATTTTTTCCTATGATGGCCTAAAATATAATACTTTACAAGCAATGCCATTATAATGAATCTCAATATGAAGATTGAGTATCATAATGGAAATTAAACATTATCTTAAACTAAAGGATGGGCAGTTTGTAGTACATTTTATTTCCCAAGA